AGCCAATACACAGTATTTATTTGATTATATTTGATCATAAAGAAATCCGATCTGTTTCAGACGTTTTTCTTAAAATATTTTTATGAGAATGTTATGCATGTTTTATTACCCCCCCCCCCTTTCACAGGAAAATATCTTCATATCTTCAAAAGGTGAATAAATAATAATGCATGCTTTATTATAAATTTGATGAAGTTAAACCATGTTTTCAAAAATTTTATTTACACCATTTACAGACAAGAGTAATGTTTATTCTTTAAAAAAAATTATTTGCATTTTCTTCAGTCAACTCCACGGCGCTTTCAACCTTTGATATTTTCCCTGACCAAATAAAATGATCGGCATGGACCACGTGTGTCCAAGCAGATTTTACTGTTGAGTTAGCAATGGATTACATGATTTCTGAGATTCATTTTTCAATAAAAGTAAAATAGGATAATTCTTTTGACACGTGCACATCCCTGTAACGATAGCAGTACTCAGGTAAATATTTCTGTCACTGCGTTTGACGCGTTTTCTCGACTGACCTGCATGGAATTTTTGCTCTACTTGAATGTATTCCGTGTAAGTGTATTTTCTATATTGCAGCAAATGCATTCAAAAATAATTTAATTCTCGGTATAGTTCTAGTTTTTGTTGAATTTTTACTTTTCAAACATGTATTAATTGGTCAGTTTATTGACTTCTAAAAACTATGCTATCGGAGATATGCACATGTCGACAGCCAGGATAGAAAATCACTCAAGTGAAACAGTTGTAAAAGGCTATATATAGCAGGTACAGGTGGCCAAAAATGTTCGAATAAATATGGCGGAATCGAAGAAATATGGCGGACAAAGGCGTACAGGAATGTAGTAAGTCGTACAAAGATGAAAAATGATGCCTTTTTAAGAGTTCATGTCAGCTTTAATGTCGAAAATTTGGCTTTTAGTAATTGAGCTCTTGGTATTCATTAATAATTTCCTTGAATGTAATTGACTGTTTTTACAAATACGTTTATATGTGCTTACACTGGCTAGTGTTTTAGTGTTTTAGGGGACTACGCAGCAATATTCAATGTCTATACTAAGTATCTCTTTGTACAAAAGCCACCCCCACTTACATGTATATGCTGAACCTGGACAAAAGACAATGGAATTTTTATAAAGGTAATTGTAGGAAGAATGCGGAAATCCTCGCGGGGGGTTTCCTCTCTCATTTTATCTGCTTTTTCTAGTAATCATTAATTATTTATGTCTAGAAATTTAATTCACATTAAATTCTATTTTCCTTATCATTGTACCACAGAATCAAACTCGTTTATTATACCCCTCGCAACAAGTTGCGTGAGGTATAATGTTTTGGACCCATCAGTCAGCCCTTTTTTTTTTGGTCAGCGCAACTTCTTATAAACTAATGCACAGAATTTTGTCAAACTTTCGAGATATTTAAAGGAGTCAATGTGTCTGTATTTGCACATTACCAGGAAATTCCGAAATCTTTATTTTTCAGGAATTTCCGCACTTTTACATTTAGAATTTGGCGATATCTTGAATATAAAGATGAGCAGTTTGTCAGGGCAATTCCTCATAAAGCGCTGCACACAATTTCGTCAAACTTTGCAGATATTTAGGACACAATGTGTATATATGGGCATATTACAAGGAAATTACGATTCCTTTATTTTTTCTGTGAATTTCAGCACTTCGACTTTTGTGGGAGCGTGGGGTATGTGAATTTGTGAATTTGCTCACTTTTTCTTTCATTGTGCATAAAATTATAAACAACTTTAAATCAAATTATATTAGGTCTAATAAAGCCAATACACAGTATTTATTTGATTATATTTGATCATAAAGAAATCCGATCTGTTTCAGACGTTTTTCTTAAAATATTTTTATGAGAATGTTATGCATGTTTTATTACCCCCCCCCCCCCCTTTCACAGGAAAATATCTTCATATCTTCAAAAGGTGAATAAATAATAATGCATGCTTTATTATAAATTTGATGAAGTTAAACCATGTTTTCAAAAATTTTATTTACACCATTTACAGACAAGAGTAATGTTTATTCTTTAAAAAAAATTATTTGCATTTTCTTCAGTCAACTCCACGGCGCTTTCAACCTTTGATATTTTCCCTGACCAAATAAAATGATCGGCATGGACCACGTGTGTCCAAGCAGTTTTTACTGTTGAGTTAGCAATGGATTACATGATTTCTGAGATTCATTTTTCAATAAAAGTAAAATAGGATAATTCTTTCGACATGTGCACATCCCTGTAATGATAGCAGTACTCAGGTAAATATTTCTGTCACTGCGTTTGACGCGTTTTCTCGACTGACCTGCATGGAATTTTTGCTCTACTTGAATGTATTCCGTGTAAGTGTATTTTCTATATTGCAGCAAATGCATTCAAAAATAATTTAATTCTCGGTATAGTTCTAGTTTTTGTTGAATTTTTACTTTTCAAACATGTATTAATTGGTCAGTTTATTGACTTCTAAAAACTATGCTATCGGAGATATGCACATGTCGACAGCCAGGATAGAAAATCACTCAAGTGAAACAGTTGTAAAAGGCTATATATAGCAGGTACAGGTGGCCAAAAATGTTCGATTAAATATGGCGGAATCGAAGAAATATGGCGGACAAAGGCGTACAGGAATGTAGTAAGTCGTACAAAGATGAAAAATGATGCCTTTTTAAGAGTTCATGTCAGCTTTAATGTCGAAAATTTGGCTTTTAGTAATTGAGCTCTTGGTATTCATTAATAATTTCCTTGAATGTAATTGACTGTTTTTACAAATACGTTTATATGTGCTTACACTGGCTAGTGTTTTAATAACGCAGGTGTTGAAGTGATAATTGTTATATAAACAATGGTCATGGCCTACGTGACAACATAGACTGAAGTTAAATATAGCAATGACGCGGCAATAGAATCCCTAATGATTTGTAACTGGAATTACATATCTAAAATTTAAAAAAATAAAAATAAGTTATAGAATTGAGAATAATTCAGAAAACACCAAAAAGATTATAGCTGTTGACTCATTTATAGGTATTAATTAAATACATCTATGTCTTAAGCGACATGCATTTTGTTGATGATACAAGCGACGGTAGTTCAAAATGGCAGAATATGCAATGGAAATAAAATATAAACAAAGATCGTTTTTCATCGGAATTTTATTTTTGAAACGGTTTTCTTTCTTTCAACACTAAGGGTATATATTTATTTCTACAACAGGTAGGGCTTACGTATATAACTCTCTGAAATTAGATTAACTTTGACATAATTGGATACAAAGGATAATCAATTCAAATGGATCAGGAAAATGGTCCTCGGCACTGTGAATGTGACATGAAAAAAATGGGGTTGAATTTTGTTCCTATGTATTGAGCGCATCCTTACTTTTGAACAATTATCTGACAAAAAAAATTGCGTCCAATACAAGGGATTTTACGGTACATTTTGTAGAAATGAATTTCTTTACGTTTTTGAGTTTCATATTACGGAAATGTCCGATCTATTCATAGTAATTTTTGCATGCACAAGTGATTTGGCGCTTACTATAAATAGTGTTCCAGGCGTGTTTTTGGTCATTGCGAAGTTCGTTACAAGATTTCAAGGACATACATTATAGTGTCCAGGATAAGAATATGTGCGATTCGGAGAAAAATGATTCACAGAACAATGTCCACAATCCGATAACTTTAGAACCAAGGAATTCCGAGGATAGAGTTTTTGATGCCACAGACGCAGTTAGACTTTTCAACCGGCGTATTGAAACCGCATTAGAGAAACAAAGAGTCGCCATTGTATCAGAAATACAAGAAAAATTTCAGTATAAAAGTGCTGATTCCTGTGATTTACAGAGGGAAGGTAACAAAATACAATTCAAATTCAATGAAGAAAGGCTCCGAGCTCTAGATTTGATTGAGAAAAAGTTGTCTATAAACGACATTGGTGAAATATTTGTAATCATTAACAAAGAAAAAGAAGCTTTACACCAGAGAAATAAAATTTTGCGCATAGCCGATAAACATGGCTGGGACACTGTTAAAGAGTATACTGACTCTGATTTGGCTGATAATCCTGAGGACGCATCTAAACTCCGTGCCGCTATTTCAAGAGCAGCCGCAAAGAAGAGGAGATATTTCCCTTACAGTAAGGAGTCTCAGTCGACCAAGCCCGGGATTTTCGACGGCCTCACCCCTAGACAGCTTTTTCGCGGGAGTGCGGGATTTCAGCAGTACACAGGGTACAACCAAAAGTTTAACAACAGGGCCAATCCTTCATACTTCAGACCCAACTACCAAGTGCCGGGAAACAACGTCATTTGCCTGTACTGTCAACTCCCCGGGCATTTCGCAAAATTCTGCCCCTACACAGACCTACAGCAAAGGGCACGGCCAATCAGAGTTCCCGAGGCCACAGCAACCTCAGATTCCACAGAACCCAGAAAACAGTAAAGTTGAGTATTGTGCTGAATTTTGCTTGCTCGATGTTAAGTCAGATTTCAAGAATACAATTTCTGTTAAAGATCATTTAAAAAATTCGCAACATTTTTGGGAAAATGTACTGAAACCTTCTGATTATATTCTGAATGTTGTAAAATACGGTTACAGATTAGAGTTTGAAAGTTCTCCTCAAACAATTTTTCTTAAAAATAATAAATCTGCTTTAGATTATTCAGATTTTGTAGAAACATATATTCTTGATCTCTTGAAGAAAGATCTGATTTTGGAATGCTTTCAAGCTCCTTTTTGTGTGAATCCAGTAACAGTTTCGGTGTCTGCGAACAAAAAGCAAAGATTGATACTGGATCTAAGACATGTTAATTCTTTCCTTGAGAAAAGAAAGGTTAAATTTGAAGGGACAAAAGAAGGTCTAAATTTTGCGAAAAAAGGGAATTATATGATAAAATTTGATTTGACCAGTGGGTACCATCATATTAATATTCACTCGGATCATTATCAATATCTAGGATTTTCTTGGAAAATTAACGGAATTGTTAGATATTTTGTCTTTACAGTATTACCTTTTGGTTTGAGTTCTGCGGGATACATTTTCACAAAAACATTAAGACCTTTAGTAGCACATTGGAGAGCTTGTTCTTTTCCTATAATTATGTACTTAGACGATGGTTGGCTATGCGACACAAAAGAAAATTGTATGTATATGTCAAACATCATTCAGGCGGATCTATCGCGCGCAGGTTTTCTTGTTAATCAAGATAAAAGTGTATGGAAACCTTCTCAGAAATTAGATTGGCTGGGTTTTGAGTGGGATATGTGTCAAGGTGTTATTAGTATTCCACTTAACAAATTAGAAAACCTGCGTGCGAAGATTTTAAACATAAAAACAAAAAAGCATGTTTCAGTCAGGGATCTAGCGTCTGTTGTCGGCTCGATAATTTCTTTCAAGTTTGCTTTAGGTCCAATATGTCAAATGTTTACAAGGCATCTTTCCATTGTTATTGCTCAAAAAGCTTTTTGGGACCAAATTTTTTGAAATACCTAAGCCGGCAGCCGACGAGTTAGAATTTTGGCTTGAAAATCTTTTGTACGTGCCCAATAGAGTTATCTCTCCTTGGTTTCGAAGTCCGGACAGAATAGTGTTTACTGATGCGAGCGATTTCGCCGGAGCGGGCGTAATGCTTGATTCAAACAAAGAGTATTTTCACGCAATGTGGGACGATTTTGAAAAAACGCAAAGTTCTACATACAGAGAATTAAAAACAGTTTTTCTTTTCATCAAGACTTTTTTAGTCATGTTCTGCGCAACAAATTTGTGAAGTTATATTCAGATAATCAAAATGTAATTAAAATTGCACAAACAGGTAGCATGAAAGATGAATTGCAAAAATTAGCTTTTTCTATTTATGCCATGTGTCTTTTGAATAACATAGAATTATCTGTAGCGTGGATTCCCAGAGAACACAACAAAGAAGCTGATTTTTGTAGCAAGTTTTTTGATTTTGACGATTGGGGTGTAAATCAGAGTATTTTTAAATATTTTGATCATATTTGGGGACCATTCACTTGCGATACTTTTGCTAGCTCTTTTAATTTCAAAGTCAAAAAATTTTATTCCCAGTTTTGGACGCCAGGTACTAGTGCGGTTGATGCTTTTGCATTCGACTGGTCTCAGGATTTAAGTTGGTTAGTACCTCTGATACATTTGATAAGCAAATCCATTAACCATATCATACATTGCGGTGCTAAGGGTGTTTTAGTAGTGCCTAAATGGAAATCTTCTGTTTTTTGGCCATCTATTGTTGATATTTCAGGAAAATTTAGATGGTTTATTAAGAAATATGTTGAGTATGAAAAACCTGCAAATTTTTTCAGTGCAGGTTCTGACAGAAATAGTATATTTGCTGCAGAAAGGTTTAATAGTAATGTATTTGTGCTAAAAATAGATGCAACGTCGCATTAGTACTTAGGATTTTGCATGTGCACATGAACATTAAAAAAAAAAAAAAAAAGAGAGATGACTGTTTTCTCATAATAATAATATGATGGATTTAGAACAGAACTTTTACGTGTGGAGGACTGTACTCCCAAAAGAGATGACTGTTTTCTCTTATAATACACTTAGAATTATGTATGGTGGAATATATTCGTATAAAAAAGAGATGACTGTTTTCTCTTATAATATACTTAGAATTATGTATGGTGGACCGTATTTGTATAAAAGAGATGACTGTTTTCTCTTTATATGTAGATTTTGATTAATCAATAGAGGAGGACTGTACTCCGATTTATGTTGGATTGTGCGTTTATTTCTTGTTAGTTTTTTAATCTTATTTTCTTTAAATTGTATCTAATCATTCATTATTCTGATATATTGACAGATACTGCAGAACTGTCATGGCCATTGGTGTGATGTTTTGAAGTTTAAACAACATCCTCAACTGGGTGCTCTAGTAGATTTGTTGCCTCAGGTCGTGAAGTGTGCGAAATCGGACTCGACAAATCAAAAATACGATTCTTACTTCAGACGATTTGAGAGTTGGTGTTCACAACATAATTTTCAACATCTTCCAGCTTCTGTGTCCACTGTTTCCTTGTTTCTCGGTAGCGTAATCCAGCAAAGAGTGTCGTCTTCAGTTTTAGATGCTTATTATTACAGCATTAAGTGGATTCATTCTCAAGCATCATGTGTGAATCCGTGTGATGATCATTTTTTACAGCTCATTCTTGAAGGCGGAAAAAGAATTCTTTCAAAACCAGTGAATAAGAAAGAACCAATTACTACGGAAATTCTAATAAAACTCAAGGATGAATACTTTAAGGAATCGGACAACGCTTTAAAGTTACGAACATTCCTCATGTGCCTTTTGGGTTTTTCTGGATTTCTACGTTATAGTGAATTGTCAAACATTCGTTTGTGTGACATAAAATGGAAAGAAGCCTACATAGAAATAAAGATTCCAAAAAGTAAAACTGATGTGTACAGAAGAGGGAACGTGATTGTCATTGCAAAACCTGGGAATGATTTGTGTCCGATTTCTTGGTTAAACAAATATATTGCATTATTACAGCTAAGCGTTACTTCAAGTGATTATTTGTTTACAAGTATTAACTTTAAGAAATCTTTAGGGGTTTACAAGTCTTGTAATACGTCAAAACCTTTGTCTTACACTAGAGCAAGAGAAATTTTGTTATCTGCATTAAGCAGTATTGGCCTTGACAGTTCTAAGTATTCATTGCATAGTTTGCGGAGCGGGGGTGCTACCGCTGCTTCTAACAATAATGTCCCAGATAGACTTCTGAAAGCTCATGGTCGTTGGTCTTCTGATAAAGCGAAGGATGGGTATATTGAGGACAATATTCAGAAAAAGCTTTATGTGTCTATGAATCTGGGTTTGTAGTCAACATTCCTAAATCACCTTTGTTTGTTTGCGATCTTGTAACGAACGCACCTAACCTAATCTATTTGTTGTTGTTTTTCAAACTAGTCAAGAAAAGATTTATTTTCGGAGGAGTTTACGAGGGAGAAAATAAATGAATTTCTTTACGTTTTTGAGTTTCGTATTACGGAAATGTCCGATCTATTCATAGTAATTTTTGCATGCACGAGTGATTTGGCGCTTACTATAAATAGTGTTCCAGGCGTGTTTTTGGTCATTGCGAAGTTCGTTACAAGATTTCAAGGACATACATTTCCCTTCCCATCCCCGCCCTAAGAACTATGCAATGCATTGTATTTAATCATTATATACATGTACAATTATGTTTTTGTCGATGTTTGTGTCAATTAATATAAATTGTGTTATATATTAAGTCATTAAAAGTTGATTGTTGATTATAAATGCGATCTTGTAACGAACGCACCTAACCTAATCTATTTGTTGTTGTTTTTCAAACTAGTCAAGAAAAGATTTATTTTCGGAGGAGTTTACGAGGGAGAAAATAAAATTGATTAAATTTTAATTTTCTTCAATCCCGGAAAACTACGTTCAACAGTTTTTATTATTTATTTTATGGATATCTGATCCTCAGCCAGGAATGATAACTACAAAAATTTGTAATGCATCAAAATGAAGCTTGAAAATGAAATTTTTTCATGCAACAATTTTCATTTTATTTATGTTTATAAGATTTAAGGTTTTTGGAAGTCTTAGAAAAGGTCTTATGAAAGTTGACATTTGTACCCTATAAAAGGAAAAAAAATAATACAGTTTTAGAGAAATAAGATTTTCTTGAATCCAGCCTTAGATACCAATGCTTATTAGCATGATATGAAATAAGAAGTGATTTGTGGTGTCTTGCAATGATAGCACAAGCCTTTTACACTATGTATTATAGAATACATGATGGAAAAAGAAGACAAAAAGTACCAAATAAGGATAAAAATCATAGCAATTTCTCTGAATGCCTGGATACTAGGGATGTCAAAATTGTCAAGAATTAATATTCGAATATTCGATGGGAGTATTCGAATATATTCGAATATTCGATAAAATAAATACACCTTGCTTTATTAAATATATTTCTTTACTCTCCTGTCAAGTAGTATAGAGTTTATGCCATTATTTCGGAATAAAAACTCATGTAGAGTTTGGTAAATACACTGCAATTACATTTTAAAAAAATATTGAATAGTACACATCCCAAATGTAATGATAGTTTATAGAAAATTCAAAAGATTCTTTTGTATATTCCAGACTCATTGATAGTTTTACTTAAGTCTACACTGATAATTCCTACAAATTTATACCAAGTAGAACAATTATCTAATGCTGAAATATCAAAAGCAATTACTTTTTGCTAATTATAATTACCTGATAATGATTTTTAATGATTTTTACATAAACAAGGGGTCTGTGTGTTTACTGTAAAACTGTGTCCTTACACAATATAAGCTGATTGTAAGTACTGGAAACTATCATACTACTAATTAAGTGAACAAATAAATATATTACTCTAATAGATAAACTTTCCACACCTTTAAGATAATCCAAGAGGAGTATTTTTTTTAATTTTTACAAACTTTATTCAATTTCTGATAAAACTTGCCAGGTTTTCTCTCTTTTTTATAATTTTTTATGCTGAAAAACGAATATTCGAATCATAAAATTATATTCGAATATCAACTCATCGAATGAATATTCGAATATTCAAATATTTGTTGACATCCCTACTGGATACCTATCGTTTTTTAACTTAAAATATGTATGTTGATCAATTTACAATTAGAAAATGCATTGCTGATATTCCAATTCGTTTTTTCTGCAAAAATATTGGAGATTTGACAATTTTCCCTATGTAATATGATTAACTTTAATTTTTAACATTAAAGAAATACTGTGGATAAATTTACATTAACTTTGTGGATTCAAAGATACTTTTATGAGTATTTTTGATTATTTAACTGCTAATTTTATAAACCTGAGGATTGGACTACCTTAATATTCATTAATTTCCAAATGTTCCTCATATGCTGTATATTAATTGGCACTTTTAACTTTTTAGTAAAGTATATATCAATGGACAAGGTCAAGAGTCACGAGGTCGGTAACCATGGCAATTTACAAATGCCATTGTGCCAAGCAATAAATGTGCAAAATATCAAGTCCAATTCTCTTACAGTTCTTGAGATACAGGGTGTGACAGATGGACAGATAGATAGACATACGCTAAATAAAGTGATTCCTTCGTGTTGCTCTGCTCTGCAGGCCACACAAAAATATGTGACCTACATTCATCCTGACTCTAAAGCAATGAAAATATACTCCCCCTATGCTTAAAACACCTCCTCCATACTTTTTAGCAACTACATGTACCCTGGATTAATACCAGTCATGTATGGTGGACAGGTACTTTCATTTCTACTTATCTCTTCCTGATTAATGTTAAGAATCAAAATATTGTCCTCAAATATCAAATACTGATTATGAATATAATCATTGTTTATTTTTCCAAATACAATATCACTATTACCGTTATACATAATACAGTACCCCCTATGAACCTCATGTAAACCACGTGATAAAATTAACCAATAGGAAATCACTATTAGCTGAAGTCAGCGTGCCTGCAGTGTTGATGTTTATTCTTCCAGTTCAATAATTTTACCATTCTTTCTTTATTATTTCTGCTTGGACTACGTGATAAATGTGACTATTACAGGAACATTTGCATAGGATTTATCGTGACTTACTTTTTGTTTGGATATTTCAAATTACAATCGAAATGTGGGAATGAGATCCTCATACCGATCGTCTTGTGTGGTAATCTATAAATTATTCACTGTATTTACTATCGTAATATGAAAATCATAAAATTTTAACACTAAATGTTGTGATTTGTTAAGTATGCCGAGGGCTGCAAGGAGAAATTCGACAAGGCAAAGGCCTGAACAGGAGGTTGTTTCTACATCTGCCGTAGATAGAAGTGATACAGTTCTCGATATGGACAATCCTTTGAATTGGACGATCGCCCAATTAAGGGAAAGACCGACACAAATAGGAATCCAAGTTCCGAGAGGATTTAATGCTGCAACTATGCGACAGTTGTACAATGAAAACGTAAACAAATCACGTAACGGAACAGCGCGAAAATTCGCATGAAGGACCTTTGGGTGGAAGTGACGCCACAAACAATGGCGTCCCCATACAAACAATGGACGGAAGTGCCGTCACAAATACAAATAACGATGGTGTTCTACTTCAGACGTTGCAAAGTATGGCGCAGTCCTGTGCAGCTTTACAACAGACAGTTACCACGCTATTAGCGAAAGAGAACAAGAACGGAGCAGAGAATGATGATGATATCCCTCTTAAGAAATATGCTGTTAAAGTTCACACGGATTCAGCCTCAGGTACGATAAATTCAGTTAATATTAGTGAGCACTCAAGCATAGGGGTCCCATCGAAAGATGTTGGCCACGTGGATCTAGTATCCTCTGATATTCGAAAGAAAATACTACGAGGTGAAGATGTAAATATGTGCACGCTCCTGATACCAGCTTATGAGACTCCCAAGAGTTTATGAGACAAGAGGAACTGGACATGTACCTAGCACATATTATAGAAGTACACAATGTTTGGCCAACGAAATTTTTTGAGTATCACAAACTGTTTGCTGCCAAATGTGCCATTGCATTAAAACAGAACAATGTTCTTATAAACTGGAGCAAAGGAGACGAAGAAATATTGAAGCGTGTAGTAGCAGGTGCAGAAGTCAGCAAGTGTAATATCTGCTCCTCTACAACCCACACATCTAGTATGTGCATAGAGAATTATGATGACAAAGACAAGCATCAACGAAGTCAAGTACGATCGCAATATCGCATATCATGAAGGCAGACAAATCTGCAATAATTCTAATTCAAACCGGTTTTCGGTGCCTTACTGCAGAAGAGCACATTTGTTCCCAATGTATGTCAACATCACATGGGAAACAGAAGTGTCCTAGTCTAAATTCGGAGAAGACCATATCCACTTTTGTGATGCCAGATGATAAAACAAAGAAACAAAAGGCTCAACAGTGACTTAAACAGCAAGAACTGGATGAATTTAAAGCCACTACACCAGTAAATATAGATAGACTAGAGTTTGAACTACGTAATCATCCAGACAGAAAATTCGTTATTTAACTTGTGGACTATATGATGGATTCAATATATTTATGGGTGATAGTATAAGTCTCGATAATTCATACGAGTGCAGGAATTTACAGTCCGCTAGGGAAAACCCAGATATTGTTGACGAACATTTAAAGACAGAAGTTCAGAAAGGATTTGTGAAAGGACCGTTCCAAACACTCGAATTTTCAAAATACAGAGTAAGTCCATTAGGACTGGCTACGGGTAAATACTCTGGGAAGAAACGTCTTATTTTGGATTTATCTTCACCACATGATCATGAGGAGGTTGACAGTGTAAATAATTTGATTGACAAAGACAAATGTTCTTTGAAATATGTTAGAATAGATGATGCAATAACAAGAATTAAAGAATTGGGAAAAGGCGCTATTATGTGCAAAACAGACAAATGTGATTCTTTTAAGCTGATACTAGTAGCTCCAAGATTCTGGCCTTTGTTGTGTGTGAAATGGAAAAATTTGTTCTACTACTTTGTTCGACTACCATTTGGTAGTAGAAGTTCACCGAAAATCTTTGATCACTTATCACAAGCTATTTGCTGGATCGCAAAAAAACAATAATGGAATAGAAAATATTTTTCATTTGTTAGATGATTTTCTTACCATTGACGAACCTGATGTGCTTGGAGAAAGGACCATGGCCTTTTTGTGTACTTTATTTAAAAGACTCAACATACCCTTATCATTGAAGAAAACAGTGGGTCCTACAACGGAACTAGAATACTTAGGAATCATCCTTGACAGCGAAAAAATGGAAGCATGTTTACCTCAGGAAAAAATCACCCGAATTTGTAACTTCGTAATGACTTCCTGAAACAGCCTTCGGTGACGAAGAGACAATTACTGCAGTTATTAGGACACTTTAACTTTGCAGCGAGAGTTGTGTTACCTGGGAGAGCTTTCACCTCTTATCTTATCCAATTGTCTACAAAGGTAGAAAAACTTCATCATTATGTTAAGTTTACACAAGCCAGCAGGGAAGATCTACAGATGTGGCTATATTTCTTGAAGCATTGGAATGGGGTGTCAGTTTTTTATGAATCCAAGTTGATAAGTAATGCCAACATGGAATTGTATACCGATGCCTCATCTACAGTAGGATTCGGGGGATATTACAGAGGAAAATGGTTTGCAGAACAGTGGCCAAAGGAACTAAATACTCGTACACAATCTCCGTCCATGGCTTTTCTTGAATTATATCCTACTGTCTTCGCAGCTATTCTCTGGGGAAAGGACTGGAAAGGAAAAAGGATTCTTTTCCATTGTGACAATGCTGCCGTTGTAGACATTATCCGAAAACGTCGATCCTCAGATTTACAAATATCATCTTTGATGTGAACTCTATGCTTTTGTGCTGCTCTTTATAACTTTGACATTTATAGTGAACATGTATCAGGAATTAAAAACATTATAGCTGACTCTTTGTCTCGCTTACAGCTGGAGAAATTCAGGCAGGCTGCTCCTCAAGCAGACGAAACTCCGATGATATGCCCACCGGTATCAGAAGTAATCTGGAACTCGGACAAGTGGTTGAAAAACTGATCAACAATTCTGTGACAGAAAGAACAAGATCAACGTACAAACCAGGTTTTGAGACGTACAAACATTTCCTTTCAATACATGGTGTTGTTTATGATGTTAAATGTCCACCCATATCAGAAGATATTCTTGTACATTTTGTAGCATATTGTCAACATAACTTGTTGCTTAAATTTTCTACAATTAGATTATATTTGTGTGGAATCAGATACATGTTTTTAGAAATGGGAATTCAAAACCCTTTTCAATCTAAATGTCACTCAATGGAACGATTGAAGTTAATTTTAAATGCAATCAGAAAAGTGCAAAGTAAAGATCAATTTAAATGGAAGGTTAAATTGCCTATTACAGCTCACATACTACAAAGAATTTGTACAGTTTTAAGGAATTCCTTGTTTACATTTTATACCAATGTTTTGTTCGAGGCTATGTATGTAACAGCTTTTTTCGGATTTTTCCGCTGTGGTGAACTGACAATTCAACAGAAATTTAATCCATGTTGTCGTTTAAGCTGTGAAGATGTCCAAATTCACAAAGATTGTGTTGAGATATTTTTGAAGACTTCTAAAACAGATCATTTTCACAAGGGTTCAAGTATTGTATTATACTCAAATGACACAAAGGTCTGCCCAGTAAAATCTATGTGTAAATACACCAGGTGAGAGAATTCTGCTATGCTGGACCTAAAGAAGCGTTTTTCATTACAGAAGATAAGCTTCCTGTAACAAGATCATATTTTATTGAACACTTGCAATTTATCTTACAAAGTCTTGGATTTGATTCAGAGAAATACAGTGGTCACTCATTTCGTATCAGTGCAGCAACCTCTGCTGCATCAGCTAGAATAGAAGACCATCTTATTAAGACTTTAGGCAGATGGTCATTCGATTGCTATACTAGATATATAAGAACACCAACCAATGTTGTTAGAGAAGCACAAATTAGTATGGCCACTAGTTTTCATTCAGATAAAATGTCCTAGGTCAGGTTAATGTGTACATATTAAGGACATGAGGTTTTAGAGAACTGATTTAGCTTTAAAGTTTATGTACAGGAACTCTATACTTTTAAGTAGGCAATTCGATGAAGTTATTGATTTATTGATGAGTGTCAATCTGCTTATTTACAATTTGGTCTACCACTTTAAACTATTAGTAATAGCATTTTTTCTAATGGTGTGTTCATTTGTATTGGATAGATAACATCTTTTCATCAGATGACAGTCACTTAAGTGCATTGTTTTATATATGTGTAGATTAAATGTATTCATAGTTTAATATAATATGTCTAGTTCCATCTCTAATTGTCACATGCCCACATTTCACTCCTTTACCAGCTTCCTTACATCCCATACTTGGGGACTATGCAGCTGTACCATCTGCATATTTTTGCCATTTACATAATGATATACACTTATATATCTCATTACTTTCTCCCAACTATGGGAAGTTAATCGCTCAGCATTGTGATCAGGTGCTTGTTGTATAAGTATAAGACTCCAGTTGTTTACTCCATTCTCAATCCATTCACGTGATAGGCTCGTGTTTACCATTTTGAAAAAAAAAAAATTGACAGACAGACAGATGGATGGCAGACAAAATGTGATCAGAAAAGCTCACTTGAGCTTTCAGCTCAGATGAGCTAATAATATATCGACGCTTTATGTCGTATGTTCACAAAAAGCACAATCAACATTCCAGGTTTCTATCTTTACAGTGTTTATTTGCAACAATTTACTAACCTGTGAAAAGTTATTATTCACCAATTGCATCAAAATAATTAACTAAATAACTAAATAACACACTGAGCAGAGTGATATGTACAATTTTTTTTTACCTGATGTGCTAAGTAAGTTATCTGGTGTTTTCGTTTCTGATTAGATGTTGGCCCTTCACCTTTCTTGTGAGACAATTGAGCTGGCTGTTCCTCTGTCAAAGACTTAGTGACATCTACAGTGCTGATAAAATCCCTTGCATTGACATCCACAATATTTATGATTTCCTTTCCTCTCTGTTTTTTGCCTTGTATTCTAAGGAACTGAAATGCACACATTGAAACAGGCAGTAAATTCCAATGGAAATTACTATAGCTTGGTTAATAAGATTAACATACTTAAATTCAGAGTATTTGTTGGTATTTCAAGCAATTTTCATGCTGGTATTTCATCATAATTATATATCCAATTTACAAACTGAAACACTGTTTGTAAACCCTGCAGATTTCAATGGTTGAAAGTATAAATTAAAGCTAATCAAAAAGATGCATGTTAAATGTGTTCCTTATTAACCTCAGTTACAAATATTGTGGCATGAATCAACACTGATGATTTATTTTTGAACAATGCCAATTACATTGTATAACCACATTTATCTTGATCCGAGATAGAGATGTATTTGTCCAAAAGGATTCTAATGTTACACAGAGATGCTGACTGGGACAACAATGACATACCTCCAAAATAAAACCGTGAAATACATGACGATAACAAACATTATTCAAAATCAAAAGTCCATTAAACAATACAAAATTGAAGCAGAGCAAACATAGTCCTCAAAAACATCCGAGCAACGTTGGATCACGTTCCATGAAGGAGTGAGCCCATTTTGTGCTCTTTGTCCTGATCGGAAAATAACGGAAAAATCTGTCAACAATTCAGTGTGTATATAATAGCCTAACAAATAGTATGAACAATTTCAGTCAGCATTTGACTTAGGGCAATATCATGTGTATTGGCTGCACTTTTTTCGTCAGAAAATTGTTCAGAAGTAGGGATGCACTGAATACATAGAAACAAAATTCAACCCCCTTTTTTCAGGTCACTTTCTCAGTGCCGAGGACCATTTTCCTGATCCATTTGAATTGATAACTCTTTTTAACCAATTAGGTCAAAGTTAATCTAATTTCAGAGGGTTATATATACGTAAGCCCTACCTGTTGTAGAAATATACATATATCCTAGCTAAGTGTTGAAAGAAAGAAAATCCTTTCATAAATAAAATTCTGATGAAAAACAATCTTTGTTGTATTTTCATTGCGTATTCCGACATTTTGAAATACCGTCGCTAATATCGTCAAGAAAAGCAAGTCACTTAAGATATATGGATATATTTAATTAATACCCATAAATGAGTCAACAACTATAATCTTTGTGATATATTCTGAATTATTCTTAATTCTATAACTTATTTTTATTTTTTTAAATTCAGATATGTAATTAGAGTTACAAATCATTAGGGATTCTATTGCCGCATCATTGCTATATTCAACTTCAGTCTATGTTGTCACGTAGGACATGACCATTGTTTATATAACAATTATCACCTCAACACCTGCGTTTTTAAAACACTAGCCTATTCGGAAGCACATGTAAAACATATCTGTAAATACAGTCAATATTACATTCAAGAAAATTATCGATGGATACCAAGAACTGTTTAATTATTAATTTAATAAAAGCCAAATTGTCGACACTAATATCGCTTGGGTATGACCAAGTTTTGTTTATACTTAAATACTGACATGCGCTTGCTATATATGCATTATACCAGTTAACATAACTTCATAACACGCTTGCCTTGGAATTAATTAAAAAGAAAATAATCAAGTATTATCTCTGATAAGATAATTATTAAAAAGATTAAATTTAAAGGTGCACATATGCACACTTAAAATGGGAAGATTAAAAAAAAAACTGACGTGCTACTTTTGTTTCAGATTTGTAAATTTTTCATTATTTTATTTTTAAGTTACTATACTAGGAAAATTAAAGTCACATTCATGCAATTTTTGGGATCACTTTTTACATAAGGACCTGCATTATTTTTTCATGATTTCACTCCAACTTCGGGGTGCATCCTTTACAACATTGCGGCCAATACACACGACATTACAGTAATGATAAATTGTATTTGCTGACAAGGTCATTGTATCGACCATATAATAGCCTAACAAATAGTATGAACAATTTCAGTCAGCATTTGACTTAGGGCAATATCATGTGTATTGGCTGCACTTTTTTCGTCAGAAAATTGTTCAGAAGTAGGGATGCACTGAATACATAGAAACAAAATTCAACCCCCTTTTTTCAGGTCACTTTCTCAGTGCCGAGGACCATTTTCCTGATCCATTTGAATTGATAACTCTTTTTAACCAATTAGGTCAAAGTTAATCTAATTTCAGAGGGTTATATTATATACGTAAGCCCTACCTGTTGTAGAAATATACATATATCCTAGCTAAGTGTTGAAAGAAAGAAAATCCTTTCATAAATAAAATTCTGATGAAAAACGATCTTTGTTGTATTTCCATCGCGTATTCCGACATTTTGAAATACCGTCGCTAATATCGTCAAGAAAAGCAAGTCACTTAAGATATATGGATATATTTAATTAATACCCATAAATGAGTCAACAACTATAATCTTTGTGATATATTCTGAATTATTCTTAATTCTATAACTTATTTTTATTTTTTTAAATTCAGATATGTAATTAGAGTTACAAATCATTAGGGATTCTATTGCCGCATCATTGCTATATTCAACTTCAGTCTATGTTGTCACGTAGGACATGACCATTGTTTATATAACAATTATCACCTCAACACCTGCGTTTTTAAAACACTAGCCTATATTTCAGTCGGAAGCACATGTAAAACATATCTGTAAATACAGTCAATATTACATTCAAGAAAATTATCGATGGATACCAAGAACTGTTTAATTATTAATTTAATAAAAGCCAAATTGTCGACACTAATATCGCTTGGGTATGACCAAGTTTTGTTTATACTTAAATACTGACATGCGCTTGCTATATATGCATTATACCGGTTAACATAACTTCATAACACGCTTGCCTTGGAATTAATTAAAAAGAAAATAATCAAGTATTATTATCTCTGATAAGATAATTATTAAAAAGATTAAATTTAAAGGTGCACATATGCACACTTAAAATGGGAAGATTAAAAAAAAAACTGATGTGCTACTTTTGTTTCAGATTTGTAAATTTTTCATTATTTTATTTTTAAGTTACTATACTAGGAAAATTAAAGTCACATTCATGCAATTTTTGGGATCACTTTTTACATAAGGACCTGCATTATTTTTTCATGATTTCACTCCAACTTCGGGGTGCATCCTTTACAACATTGCGGCCAATACACACGACATTACAGTAATGATAAATTGTATTTGCTGACAAGGTCATTGTATCGACCATTGAACTTACGAAAATGATGACTTTAAATGAGACTGCTGATATTCTTGTTTTATCAACTTGTTTGTCAATAATTTACCTTGCTTTAGAAATTGTTTATATGTCGAGCATGCTCTCGTGTATTGAATCAGTTGAGATATATAAACCCCATATGCAGGTTATGAAGGTATATTGCTGCATAAGTAAGGGAAGTTGATAATTGAAAAGTTAAAGTCATCACGTTTATCATAAAGCTTGGTTCTTAGATTACCATTAAGTAAAAGTAAGTTTCAAGTAAAATATCTAAATATGAAACATATGTGTCAGACTCTGTTGTATCTTTTATTTAAAGCTCATCAGGATGCATCATATCAACACAAGAATGGAATACTGAATAATCCCTATTAACTGCCCCTACCCCTATAAGCACCCCCTGGGTCTTTTTCAATTGTCAGGAAATAAGGGCCCCCTTTACAGTGATCAAAATCATCCAGAATCGTATCAAAAGTCCGCCATAATGAAGAAAGTGAAAATGAGACTTTGTTATTAGGTAACTCATACATGAAATATTCTTGAAAGTAAAAGATTTTTAGAACGACCTAATTATGTATTTCTGAAAATGAATTTCGAAAGTTAAACACACACAAGTATAAAATTTGTTCTCCTTGTCTATTCCCTAATTTTGAAGTGGGAAAATGAGTCATATAGCATAATTTGGGTGGATTATTGTAATATAAAGGAAGGTTAGAAAATTTTTAGTGGTTCTCTGTTATTTGTATTTTTTTCAAAAGATTTCTTGAAGTCAAAATATGACATTCAAAATTTTACCAAGAATATCAAAATAACCGCCCCCTTTCTGCAATTTTCTAAGCGCCCGGGGCGGTTAATAGGGATTATATGGTAACCATTGTTAATTGACAATTAAGGCTTATGAGAATAAGGTAGGTTTATGTTGAAAATAATACCATATCTTTAACATCTACCAGGTTGGGTTCTTATAGTTACATTTAATTTGTTCAGCGATTCTGATTGCCTGTTATTTTAATATAAAACTAGTGCTAATTGTAACAGGGACCATTACAGATGTTCCCCAAATGCTCCCCAACTCCCTTTTGGTGCCATATTCCCTGTAAGCTTCAATGAATAAGACACACTCTACGCATTTGAGACTTTAACGTTTACTCAGAAGTGTACCAAGTTCATTCAAATTTTAGCATTGCACGCGTGTGCATGTTAATGCATGTGCGTAATGACCATATCATTTTGTCTACACAATCTATATATTTTGATATACTAAATATTAAAATATTTAATCCAAAATTATCCAATAAATACGCTCATTCAAGTCTATTTTTAGGTCACCTGAGTAAACTCAGGTGACCTATTGCTATCCCTTTTCGTCTGTCGTCGTGCGTCGTGCGGTGTGCGTCGTGCGTCGTCTGTTAACATTTGAACATTTTCAGCTTCTTTTCTGCAACCGCTCAACCAATTTCATCCAATTTTGGCATAAAGCATCTATGGGTGAAGGGGAACAGAAATTGTGAATTTCATGGTCCCTGCCCCCCTGGGGCCTGAGGGGTGGGGCCAAAACCACTAAAATTAGTGCAATCTTTAAAAATCTTCTTCTTTACTCCTGGACATCAAGCAGTCTAACTGTTGGCATGATTGTAATGAGCATTGAGTCCTCTACCAAAATTGTGAAATTCATGGCCCCAGGGTCAGGGGTTGTGGTAATAGGGCGTGGCTCTATTGATTATGCATTATTTCTTTGAAAATCTTCTTCTCTGCTCCTGGGTATTAAAAAAACCAACTAAGTACATAATTATGATAACCAAGAGT